CCACATTTTATTTATCCATGCAGGAGATGGACACATTTTCATTGCAAGTGTGCGGACGGGAAGATCTTTGCTCACGCACTGCGCTCGCACGTGTGAGTTTCTCTAGAGTCACGTGGGAGCCCACCTACCTGTTCAGCTCACAGCCTCATCGACACTCAGGACTGTCGCTCAGTCTGTTGAGAAGAGGCCCATCGGGTTGTGGGGTGTCATCTACCCGACTGCGGCGAGGCTTTGTGTCTATCTCTTCCCACGGCGGCCCCTCAGCCCCTCGGGTGCTCTGGGCTTCTGGCCTCTGCAGGCCCAGCCCCGGCCCAGCACCCTGCGCACTCCCCGGTGGCTCGCCGGAGCCCGAGTCCGGCACAGCTGATTGGGTTTCGGCTCTTTATCTCCAGTTTATGAGCTCGCACTGTAGCAACCTCTGCAGGACTCCATGTGCCGAGCCTCCCAGTGTGTTCCCAGAGGGTGACTTCTCCCGTGTGGGCGGCAGGCGGCGGGCGGGGCGGGGGGGCCTCAGCTGACGCTGGTTCTGTCCCTGCAGGCAGACCTCTGCGTGATGGCCCGACTGCTGGGCTACGTGGACCCCTCGGAGCCCTGCTTTGTGGCCGCCGTCCTCGCCATCGTTTTCAACCCGCTCTTCTGGAACGTGGTAAGCGCTGCTCCGCCTGCCCTAGGTCTGGGCCCGTGGGAATCAGTCTTCCTGCTTCCTGTTGAGGTGGCATCCAGTTAGGGGACACAGACCAGGGAAGCCCCTCACCTTGGGCATCCCACCATGCCTTGGCATTGCCAGATGGCCCCGGGCGGCTGCTGGGAAAGGCTGGGCAGCAGGCTGCCCATGGCGCTGCCCACTGTGCCTGGTGGCGTCACGAGGTCCTCCAGTGGGTGGAGTGGACCGACTCGGTTTAGGGTTCCTTCCCTCTCCGCATCTCACACGCGCTCCGCACACATGGTTAGCTTTCCTAAATGAGGCTTCCTGCAAAGTGGGTCGCACAACACTGGCTTGAGGTAGCCGGGTAGCAGGAACGAGCCTCTGAGGAGTGAGGTGAGAGACGGCGCCACTCGTCTGAGGGGCAGGGACGCGGGGAGGGTGGGAGAGGGCTGGGCAGTGGCGGGGGAGGTGGCCCTGGCCTTGGAGGGAGGCCCTCTGCCATAGCCTTTCCCTGGACCAAGGTGTGGGGGCAGCGTTTGGAGCTTGTGGTCAGGCTCTCCTAGGGCACCATCCCCGGAGAGATGGAAAAGGGCAACGTTTGGGGCTGGAAGCTGCGCTGGGGTACCAGGGCTGTGGGTTCCTGGGCTGTGGGGTTCCTAGGCTGTGGGGTCCCTGGGCTGCGGGTTCCTGGGCTGTGGGGTTCCTAGGCTGTGGGGTCCCTGGGCTGTGGGGTCCCTAGGCTGTGGGGTCCCTGGGCTGCGGGTTCCTGGGCTGTGGGGGCCCCTGGGCTGCGGGTTCCCTGAGCTGTGGGGGCCCTGGGCTTGTGGGGTCCCTGCGACTGTGAGGATTCTATGCTGTAGGGTCCTTGGGCTGTGTGTTACCTGGGCTGGGG